AACATTGTCATCTATGAGAAGTTTAATTGTAGTATGAGACCTGTACATTGTCATCTATGAGAAGTTTAATTGTAGTACGAGACCTGTACATTGTCATTTATGGGGAGTTTAATTGAATTACGAGGCCTGTACATTGTCATCTATGGGGAGTTTAATTGAAGTACGAGACATGTACATTGTCATCTATGGGGAGTTTAATTGAAGTACGAGGCCTGTACATTGTCATCTATGGGAGTTTAATTGTAGTACGAGACCTGTACATTGTTATGGGAAGTTTTGTTGTAGTACGAGACCTGTACATTGTCATCTTTGGGGAGTTTAATTGTAGTATGAGGCCTGTACAATGTCATCTATGGAAGTTTAATTGTAGTACGAGGCCTGTACATTGTCGTCTATGGGGAGTTTAATTGTAGTATTAGACCTGTACATTGTCATCTATGAGAAGTTTAATTGTAGTATGGGTCTTCTACAATGTCGTCAATGAGAGGGTCTAATTGTAGTGTGAGACCTGTACATTGTCATCTATGGGAGTTTAATTGTAGTACGAGACCTGTACATTGTTATGGGGAGTTTTATTGTAGTACGAGACCTGTACATTGTCATCTATGGGGAGTTTAATTGTAGTATGAGGCCTGTACAATGTCATCTACGGGAGTTTAATTGTAGTACGAGGCCTGTACATTGTCGTCTATGGGAAGTTTAATTGTAGTACGAGACCTGTACATTGTCATCTATGAGAAGTTTAATTGTAGTATGAGGCCTGTACAATGTCATCTATGGGAGTTTAATTGTAGTACGAGGCCTGTACATTGTCGTCTATGGGGAGTTTAATTGTAGTACGAGACCTGTACATTGTCATCTATGGGAGTTTAATTGTAGTATGAGACCTGTACATTGTCATCTATGGGAGTTTTATTGTAGTACGAGACCTGTACATTGTCATCTATGGGGAGTTTAATTGTAGTATGAGGCCTGTACAATGTCATCTATGGGAGTTTAATTGTAGTACGAGGCCTGTAAATTGTCGTCTATGGGGAGTTTAATTGTAGTATTAGACCTGTACATTGTCATCTATGAGAAGTTTAATTGTAGTATGGGTCTTCTACAATGTCGTCAATGAGAGGGTCTAATTGTAGTGTGAGACCTGTACATTGTCATCTATGGGAGTTTAATTGTAGTATGAGACCTGTACATTGTCATCTATGAGAAGTTTAATTGTAGTATGAGACATGTACATTGTCATCTATGGGAGTTTTATTGTAGTACGAGACCTGTACATTGTCATCTATGAGAAGTTTTATTGTAGTATGAGACCTGTACACTGTCATCTATGAGAAGTTTAATTGTAGTATGAGACCTGTACATTGTCATCTATGGGAATTTAATTGTAGTGCGAGACCTGTACATTGTCATCTATGAGAAGTTTAATTGTAGTATGAGACCTGTACATTGTCATCTATGAGAAGTTTAATTGTAGTACGAGACCTGTACATTGTCATCTATTGGAGTTTAATTGTAGTACGAGACCTGTACATTGTCATCTATGAAAAGTTTATTTGTAGTATGAGACATGTACATTGTCGTCTATGAGAAGTTTAA